TTAAAAGATGAAAAAACTTCAATAATAATGTTTTATGTCTGTCTTTACTACCTACAAGTGGTAAAAAGTATATTTCAATTGCTGTTACATGTTTCCTGTGTGCTACTATGCTTGGAAATAAATGTTTGTATACTGTAGTAAGAATGCGCATTAAATTTATTTGAAGTCCTGAAAATTTGCAAAAAAATATAACTTATCTGGACTTAGAGATGTTAAATAATTTATAACACATGTTTAAGATGTAAAATAACCTTTCGGTATAAAAATGGCTTTGTGTGCGGAACCGAGTCCACTTTTATCATATTTGGCCCATTCCTGTTGCTTAAAATCAAGTGCGCCCAGTAGTATGACATACTTAAGATAGAAACGTTTGGGTCATCAGTTTTTATGGGCAAAGGATGTAATTTTCAAAATAATATCAATTATAAGAAGAATTTTTAACTATAAGATAATTTTCTTATTTTTACTTAAAAAAGTGTACGACTCCGGGTACACTGACTCTAAGTACAGTATCTGTCCACCATTTATGTGTGGATTTATACACGGACTTTAATTGACAAGGATCGGACACTTCCGATGGGGCTTTAAATCGGGCCGCGCGCATGCGCGAGATCTTCTCACCGGAAGAAGATGAAATAATGGCGTAGACCGAGGATGTCATGTGTAAACATTTGATAAAAAAACTCGGTTTTTGCTGTTGATTGCGTTGTTTATACAACTTTGGTACACACTATTTGTCAAGTAAGTATTATTGAATATGTTTACATTAAGTATTTATTTTATTTAGCTCCTAAAACAATCAAACTGCCGTGAAACTCAGTATTGTGATTTTGCTTATCGGAACGGTAAAATTATTCAAGATGGCGGTGAACACGAACGAAAATAAGCTGATTTTGCTGCCCAAATATGACGAAACACGAATTTATTTTATGTTTAAATTGTAATGTTTATACTAACATAGTATTGATTTGAGCAGTCAGATAAATGGTTTTCTTAGAATATGGCTGTAGAATACCGCAACATTAGATTTAAATCACCCCTCGTTCAAAGATGGCCGCATAAATAAAAAAAAATCTTCGAAATTTGCTTCCCATTTCATAGAAGGGAAAACTGTTGTTGTTCAAAAATTCGTTCTCATTATTATCACCATTGTGTGATAAGTGCAACAGAAGTAAAAATTAGGGAATTACTTACAAACTTCCTTGGTAATTTTAGTTTGAAATTTGTCTATTTTTGGTTTATTACATCTAAGTTAATTGTTAATATTCTGTTCACATAACTTAAGTTTTACCCTTTTCCTGAAGGTCATGGAGGATTCAATAACACTCAAAATACATGTAGAAATCCTGGACAAAATTTACTTGAAAAAAATAGGAGTGAAGTCTTGAATTTTTCATTTTAATGATAAGTATATGACCAGCATTAAATTAATTTGAGCTGGGATATAAAAATTACAGATTGCATGAGTGATGTTTTGGTTGCTGTACATGTATTTTGCATATAAATCTGAAACACAATCAGGGACAGCAAAATCAGTTGTCAACAGGGTTGTCAAACAAACTCATTTGTGTTATTGTCTGACTCAGAAGTTGTGTTCAAAATCTTGAAATAAATGGGCTGCAGCAAAGCAAATAAATATCGACTGAATTTAGAAGAAAATATTCCTGCAAGACACAAGTGAAAATATGTTTCACTGCGGAAAAAAATATTTTTAAAAGTGAAAAAACTAATTTTACTTCATCAATATTTCTCAATATTTGATTTGTATGTGTTAAATTTTATGGGTATTTTATATATATTTTCAGATTATTGATCCTGGTACAGTCATTTGGTGATATATCAACATACAATCATGACAAGAAAAAAAGGACAAATTGGTAGAAGAATGAAGCGAGAGAAACCACGGAAGCAACATAAGCAACACTTGTCAGCAGATGTTCTGGCGGAAGACCTTATCAAAATCGCTTGGTGACACATTCTTCGTTAAGGATGGTACTACAGAAAGTTATGAAACACCTCTAGAAAGAGTTGAGTGCTTTGACAGTGATGGATGTCATGTTGACGAGTTTTTTGTTATTCTTGACAAGCCTTACAGAAATTTCCAGATACTGATCTTGATGAGTTTGTGGAAAATGAATCATTAAGGATATTTAGTGAATTCCGTGAGAACTGTAAAAGGCATATAACAAATGACAATTTCACATACATGAAATCTTCAAATGACTTGAAATTCATACATTTGTATGAATAATTACATATATAATTGAAAGAAATTAAAAATGTGTTCTAGTATGTAAATAAATGTTTTCAAAAAATCTACTGTTTCATATTGTATGTATGTCCTCCCAATGAATATATAAATATAGAACACAAAATTGTGCTGGTAATAGCATTGATACTTAAGTACTGTTATTAACACTTACTACCTGAATTTTAACGTTCCTTCTTTAATCAAGAAACTTCAAAGAAATTTATTCTTTAATTAAAAAGTTTTAGGCACGTTAATTTTAATGAGGTGTTTATGAATAATTTACACTTACCAGATAAAAAACGACCGCTCAATACCGACTCAAACTGTGAATGTCTGTATCAATATCAATTATCCCAAAAATGTTATAATGACTTCCAAAAAAAATAATATAGGGCCTGTTTTTGTATTTAAAATATTATTGAAAAAAAGTCAAGTAAACGCCCGTGCTTACCAAAAAAAAAACAATACATGTATAAATGAATTGTTCTACGATATTACGGAAAATAACTGCATCTGGAAAGTACAAATCCAACTATTACTCGTACATCCCTTAATAAAAGCAACTTCAACTTCGCTCATTAAATAATAGAAGCCGTGGAATAGTCTGAAATGGTATTTTTTTAAATATCCGTAAATCAAGTTTAATGTTTGAAAAAAAAAGATTTTAACCGTTTGTACACGGCTTTGTCTTAATCGTCGGTATGAACGGAGACGGGCTAATTATATATATACATATATATATTATTATTATCTAATTGACACCTATATTTGTAATAAAAAATAAATTTTCTCAAATATAATCAACAAATTTCCAAAATTGGATAATAAATGATACGCCAACAATACTTTTTGTACTGTAGGTATCAATTTCGCACCCCGAAAAGTTAACGGTTAACTACTCCGAGTTTTCGTCGTATTTAATTTCTTAATCGTCGGTATGGACAGAACATATATATTTTTAAGATAAAAATAGATGATTGCAATAAGGGGCCGATTTTCTCAAAATGTTCCTTTTAATTTTCAAAATCGGATAATAAATGTTAAAGCAGCAAGACTTTTTGTACTGTAAGTATCAATTTCGCACCCCGAAAAGTTAACGGTAAATTACTCCGGGTTTTCGTCGTTTTCAATTTCTTAATCGTCGGTATGGACAGAGAGTATATATTGTTTTCAATAGAAATAGATATTTGCAATAAGGGGCCGATTTTCTGAAAATGTGTCTTTTAATTTTCAAAATCGGATAATAAATGGTAAAGCAGCAAGACTTTTTGTACTGTAAGTATCAATTGCGCACCCCGAAAAGTTAACGGTAAATTACTCCGGGTTTTCGTCGTTTTCAATTTCTTAATCGTCGGTATGGACAGAGAGTATATATATTTTTCAATAAAAATAGATATTTGCAATATAAAATCAATTTTCTGAAAATGTGTCTTTTAATTTTCAAAATCGGATAATAAATGGAACGACAACAAGACTTTTTGTAGAGAAGGTATCAGTTTAGCGCAGGTATTTTACGCTTAACTCCGATAAACTAAAAATTATTGATCGGTTTCCCGATATCGAGTGTACAGGTACACGCGCGACAAGATATTTTAACGTTTTATATAGGTTTACTAGGAGTGTCCGATCCCTGTAATTTAAATCCGTGATTTATACCGGCGAACACTTTTATCTTGTATATTATTATAGACGTTCAAATATGATTTTTTTTCAAAACAGCTTATATCAAGTTTTTTTTTTATATATATGATCAGTGCATGTGCTGGGATTGATATCCTGAAGATAAAAAGATACGAAGTTTACAGGCCAAGGTTACAGTCGCGAAATCAAGTGACAAATCGATTTTCACATATTATTAAATAATGTTTGGTTGTAATTTGTAAATAAGGACAATATATACATACATATCATACTTTCATCATTCACTTCTGAGCTGAAATCATTACTTTAAATAAATTTTATATAATCCGGTTTATTAACGGTGTTCAGTGTAAATTCGCCTCGGGTTGATAACCCACTCTCTGATTCTTGGCTGAACACCACTAAATTATAAGCAGTAACGCCCCCCACCCACATCACATCACATCAAACAAAACAAAAAACTAATATTTTTTTATTGAATAATCATAAAAGTGCTAACAATGTGTGCACTCCAAAAAGTACTCCCACTAGTTAGAACAGGTGTGGATCAGAGGGGCTTGTAAAATATGATATCGACCAAGGTTAACACATATCCCAATGGGGGTTGACATTTTGAAAGTTGTTAGAAACTTTTCATTACTATTTGCACAATTTATGCTAAAAACCTAAAACGATATCCAATTCTCAATAGAGTTGGAAGACATACTTGCCGTATCCCAGGGGCTCATGACCCTCTTCCCCCCCCATTCCTCACCACCCTCGGGATTTGCACATGCTTTGTTGTAAAACTGTGCTTCTTTTGAAAGCACAATTTTCTTGAAGCTACCTTACTGCACGGTAATTTAGTTCAAGTCATATTAGAATCTCAATCTGATGTTATGTGTATCTTAGTATGTAGTTTTTCAGATGCTTATTTTGCCAAGGTTGACTTATTACTACATAGAAATTGCATAGATATGTAAATTCTCATGCTTTACATTTCAGAACTAACCCTTAAAGGTTACAACTCCAGATCTTCTGCCAAAAATAAAAATCAAAATATTAAAGAAGATTTCACTTAAATCATTACATTTTTTTAACAAAGGAAAAAAATAATCAACATCTCAAATAGTCATAATTTCATTTATTGTCATCGACAAGAACATATAAACAAGAAATATGAACACAACATTTTACCTTAAATCCAATATGCTACATGTATATCCAATAAATACAAGTTAGATTGCGATCCTACCTATCGTTTGTTTGTTTGTTTTGGGTTTTACGTCACATCGACACAGTATAGGTCATATCGCGACGTTCCAGCTTTACTGGTGGAGCGATCCTACCTATCGTACAGGGTTACATTTCACCTACAATCCAAGTTAATGCAGTAAGTTTAATAATTTTTTTTATACCTTGCAAATATATCTTCAATGGTGTGTAGTGATCCATATCTTTTATACTAATTAATGAGCCGCGTCACGACAAAACCAACATCCGCGTAGTCTGATAAGGATCCATGCTGGTCGCTATATCAGTTTCTCTACTTGTAATAGGGTTTGAAAGCAAACAGCATGGATCCTGATCAGATTGTGCGGATGCGCAGGCTGGTCTGGATCCATGCTGGTCGCAAACACACTATGTTGGTTTTGTCGTGGCGCGGCTAATTTTTTTTTTGTCGTTGTATATATAGTTTAAGTTTCACTGAGACAGAACGTAGTACATGTAAATTATGATGTAATACTATATTTTTGCATGCATCAGTAGACAGATAAAAACTACCTTTACGGGCTTACTAAGACAAAATATCCTTTCAGTTTGATTATGTAGCCAAAGGCCTTTATCAAATTATACACACAACAATAACTTTCACTATACTCATGTAGATTATTTGTAATTTTTTGATTTCATATGATGATAATGTCTTGCAAAGAATGTCAAATGGCACACAATGTTTTTGAGATTAAACATCAGGCCTTGCCATCAATTAGGATCCATATGTGTTACCATGTGAAGGACTGGAGATCACTTAAATCCTAAAACTCCAAAGTAAAAAATCATTAAACATGCACATTATGCCTCAGAAATGTTTTATTTTTATTTCTCAAAAGCTTTTTAAATTTGGTGTACATGTACTTCCATGGTTTCAAGAAAGTTACTCATTTGGCCCAGTTAGTTACCTGAAGCATCCTTTGCTTCTTTTGCTTTTTGGATATCATTATAGTGATATAGTATTTTGTATTGAGGTAAAATACTACACTGTTTGCATTTTGCTACTTTTATGACAAATTATTTAAACATTTATTGATATTTCTTCACGTTATAAGCATCTAACATGCTCTAAAAAACATGATTTATACATTATAAAATTTGTGTTTTTTCTTTCTAAAGAAGTAAAAATTTATTCGTTTCTGAGGCATAATGTGCCTGAATTCCTTATATTAAAATTTGAAATTCTTACGAAGGTCAAGTAAAGTCACTTAAAATGGAAAAAATTTGCAAAGAGTAATAAAGAAAAGCAATTTGCAAAGAGTAATAAAGAAAAACACCTGTTATTTGGAATTACATTGAATATTGATTTTTCTTTTCTTGCAATTCTTAGCTCGAATTGAGCGAAAAGCGTTAATTGGAAACAATACGGTACATCAAATGGTACACAAATTTGGAAATATATTTTCAGTCCAAGTAAAAAGACAACAACAAAAAAATTTCTATCCAGATAATTACATGCATATAATGTATAGGTACTGAATTTAGATAGAAAACAATAATTCTGTAATATATATTTTTTATTTGTATAAACGTCTTAAAACATAATCATGTATAGATTAGTGTTAATGTGTTAATAATAAAACATCAACAAATTAAATTGGTTTAGGAACAGATGTGCCGCTCAACAAATTCAATTAAAATGCTTACTAATGAACACTAATTAATTTAATGTCTCACTTGATTTACAAGGCTAATTAATAAAAGCCATTTTAATAAAGTAAATGTGTTACAATTTATATCCTATTGACTTAGAAATGATGTCTAACACCAAGTATAGGTTAAAGTTTTTTATACGAATTTAAAAAATTAAATTTAATTTTGTAAATACGTACTTATAAATTTTAACCAGCTTAGTGTTTTAAATCATTTTTATAAACTGTGGATTTACTAGACTGATTAACAGTTTGCCGATTTACCTAATAAAATTTGTTACGATTCATTTGAAATAGACTGCAATCTTATTGGACAAAAAATAATTTCAAACACTAAATCCAATTTTTATTATATACCTGTATCAATGTTGCTGTTTTTTTTATTGTACATATTTGCATCACATGCAAAAAATGTGATCTGAGGTGGCATTACTGGCACTACATTATTTTAGAAGAATTATCATGAATAAACAAGCATGTATAATACAAGGGCCATTAAAAGGATATTTTGATATACATGTTGTATTTTCTTGCATTTGGCTCTCATGGAATTTCTAGAATGGATCACACTTGGTGCTTCTGTGCCTCACAATATCCTGACCTGATAAAACCTACTTGAAGGTTAAGTAGTTTTTAGTAAAGATACTCTTGTCATGACACTTCTATATAATTCTCTTTTTGGACACCTGGACACATTAAAAAAAAAAACAGATACATTTAGATCTGTAAATCAGTAGTAATACCAATCCATAAACAAGTAGAAGCATATGAACTTCTAAAAAACAACTTCAGCCCCACTCCCCTCCTCCCATATAAGAAGGATTTTTAGAAAGAAAACTGCAGATCATCCTTTTAGGGGGACATAAAACAACCCTGAAATATTAGAATTCAATTACATTGGATCCTTAATTTTATCACTAACCATTTTCATATGAATGGTATTCATTGCATAGACAAGAGCTTTTACTTCAATATAATTACACATTAAATAATCAGTAATAATAAAATAATAAATAAATAAATGCAACAAATTATTCAGTTCATACAACCATTTCACTTATTCATATCAAACTGACTGAATATCAAATATCTTGCCTATAAATAATTGCAACAAACAACACTATTTACATAATTACACAGTCATAAATGTTTTGTTCCAAAATTGAAGTCTTATTCATTTTTAAACTATTATGTCACCCTATATAATAATAAGATAGTATACAACATATTGAGGATACTGAATGAGTATATGTTCAATACTGAATTTATTGAGCAAGTTGAATAAAATTATATTATGTAAGCCTCTGGTGAGCAAAATATTATTTTATTCAACAAGTTAATAAATTTAGTAACGAAGCTACACAAATATAAATTCTATTTATCACATACCTGAAACAAAAATTTGTTAACAGGAAAAAAGAATCTTTCTTTCATGGACTTGCTTATACTGTAATGCTCAAAATTTTGCTCCTCTTTCCACTATGTTGGTATATAACACAAATAATGTCACATCGAAATAAAGCACAGCTGTGAAATGCCGTTTTTTATGGAGTCACAGACGCACATGGTATGTGATAAATATAACATATCACTATATCTGTCATATGTTATTTATACAACATAATAACTTATGTATCTGTCATGTGTACAAATTTCAGGCAGTATTCCTAGTATCATACTGATAAAAACAGTGAAACTTAGCTAACTCTAGTTAGTCTATACATGTAGATGTGTATTATGACAACTACTATGGCCCAAACCAAAAATGCCATGTCTTTCCAACAAATGCTACAAGTAACTCCCACAATTGTCATATGCAAGCACTCCATGGAAATACTCAAGTCTTGATATAGATTGTTTTTAATTGTGCTTAACTAATAAAGCCTTTAAAAGTTAGAACTTATTCAAAGCAACTACAATAAACATAACTTTTCCTGTTGCATAAAAATCACTCGCTGTTTTCAAAAGAAACTCCTATTCCACATTAGCTAATTCTCTTGTCACAGATCAATTCTTATGTATCGCATAGAAGTCCTTTTAATCAATTTACTCCACTTTTATATTATTCTATCTTATATACAATTGTCTATTCTTTATCACAAAATTTGAATGACAAAGTTTTATCACATATAAATGAAGCTTGTTCTAATAATTTATAACCACCTGTTTCCATTTTGTTCCATCCTTTTTCACCTCTGTCACAGTCAATTACAGTTATTATCTGGTTATGAAAATATCTGTATGTCATAAACCACATCCCTGATATATTGCTAATATATTCTAAGTTCTACATCATTTTTGGAATGACGTTCATTTTCTTCTTCATTTCCTCCGTCAAGGGGGCCTCGTCCTCTCAAGGTCTCGGATACCCTCGGAATGCTGCTTTTTACCGCCAGTTCCAGTAATGCCTTAGCGCCACTATCTTTATCCCAATATGCTCACCCGGGATTCCTTAAATTCATGATAGAAAAGTAAGAAGTATAATAAATTTTAGAAATTCTCCCTAATAATTCCTGTTTTATTAGTAGTTATCAATGATTAACGGCAATTAAAAACAAACATTTTGACATCAAATGTTATTAGAAACAGAAATATCTCTTGAAATGATGTCAAGTTGGAACAACTTAACAAATTCAATTCCCAAACTACTAGGAAAAGTTAAAAATTAGTCAATTGTAGTTTTAATCACATAGAATCCATCAACTTCAAAATTCCTACCAAAGAGTAGATAGTCATGCAAAAGTAGAAAAATCTATTTTTAGCAGAAGTGACCTTGACCAAATCAACTGAAAATTCCTTGAAGGGATTGTCCATGCAGATAGTAAGTACAGAATGAATGACAAACAGGAAAAACAAAGCAACAATTATATGTCTAATTTCATATTAAAGGCACATTATGTTTCAGAAACGAAGGAAAGTTGACTTTTTTATAAAAGGCAAAGATAAATATTATAACGTTTCAATAACAGTTTAGAGCATATTGGATGCTTGTTACCTGAAGAAAGTAGTGCTAAGCAAGTGCGAAAATTAATGTCATAAAATAGCAAAATATAAACAAGTTAGCATTTTGACTTCCATACAAGAAACTAAGTCACTAGAACTGTACTAATTAATTACCAAAAAGCAACAGAAGAAAAAGATGATTAAGGTATTTGGCCAATGATTTACTCCTTGAAAACTATAAAAGTTCACCAAAAATAAAAAGCTCTTGAGAAATAAAAAATAACTGTAGTCTGTAGCGTTTGAAATGTAACATATTTTCTCTGTGTGTGTAAAGATGTTTCTTTTAAATTTCAAAAGAGTCGGTATAGTAATTATCAGATTTTTTCAAATATCAAATTTAAGCATATTATATCTCAAAACAAACTATATGTTTAATGAAATTCGAAATTATCAATTATCAAGAATTATCAAGTTTATAAACATACCTCATCATCTGAGTCATGTTTTTTCCTCTCTGGTCCTACAGCCCATACTTCAATACTATCTACGGAAAAATCTGCATTTTTTGACAGCTGTGGACTTCCATATGTTGTACATTTAGGAACTGCTTTACTGTGACCATTGTTAAATGTATAATCTATCCATAGTCCAAAATAATCTAGTTGTCCACCAAGTCCCTGATAAATATTTAAATATGTTTAAAGTATGAAAAAATGGTTCAGTTCAATTAATGAAACTTGAAAAATACTTTAATCATAATAAACTTGAAAAATACTTTAAGAATTATCAATGAAATAAAAAAGTGAAATTTTCATCTTCACACCTTAAAGGATTAGGCTATACACCTAAAATAGAAAATATTTACAACAAAGTGATGATTCTAATAATGTTTCTTCATATCAGATGAGAACTACATGTCATATAAAATTCATGAGAGTCTGAGTCTCGCACTGCATCTTTACATTAGCTTATGTGTATTTAAGTTTAAGCTGATCTTATCCGAAAACTGCATACTAGTTTATAATTAAAATTGAAGCTGATATTTTTAGGAGAACTAGAAATGTGTCATCATGCCACGGATGCCCCCGCATGCAGCCAAAATTTCAAATGTTATAATATTTAGTTCCAAATTTGTTTGCACAAAAAAATAATATTTTTTTCATTCTAAGTTCAAAACTTTTCAATGTTAACACAAACCATTTTTATACAATGTTCAAGGCACTGAAATTTAATTCAGTCTTAACCTTTTAAAAATAGCATATTGCATATTTGTAGCCAACATAATGGCTATATACATTTCCACAAAAGTATGAGTGCTGAAACTGAAAGTTCAAAATTTTTCCAACATTCAGGAAAGATAAGTTTGTCCAAAATCATTGAACCACGACCAAATTCAAACTTAAACTGCTTATTCCTAAGATGTATCTATATTATTTTCAAAGTGAAAGGGACATAACTCTGCCAAAAAATCATCGAACCATGACCAAATTCCAACTTGACCTGCGCATTCCTTTGACATATCCATATGTCAATTTTGAGTTGAATAATTATGTAACACTGTTGGGTTGATAATGAACAGAAACTGTAAATTTCATATCATTTTCAAAGTGAAAGGGGCATTACTCTGCCAAAAATCATTGAACCATGACCAGATTCAAACTTGGTCTGCGCATTCCAAAAACATATCCATATGTCAAATTTGAGTTGAATGTGTAATATTGTTGGGGAGATAATAAACGGAAACTGAAAATTTCATATTATTTTTAAAGTGAAAGGGGCATTACTCTGCCAAAAATCATCCAACCATGACCAAATTTGAAATTGACCTGCGCATTCGTTTGACGTATCGATATGTCAAGTTTGAGCTGAATGTGTTGTACGATTGGGGAGATGATGAACGGAAACTGAAAATTTCATATTATTTTCAAAGTGAAAGGGGCATAACTCTGCCAAAAATCATCGAACCATGACAAAATTTGAACTTGACCTGCGCATTCCTTTGACGTATCCATATGTCAAGTTTGAGTTGAATGTGTTGTACCATTGGGGAGTTAATGAACGGAAACTGAAAATTTCATATTATTTTCAAAGTAAAAGGGGCATAACTCTGCCAAAAATCATCCAACCATGACCAAATTTGAACTTGACCTGTATTTTCTCATGACATATCAATATGTCAAGTTTGAGTTGAATATGTTGTACCGTTGGGGAGATAATGAACGGAAACTGAAAATTCCATATTATTTTCAAAGTAAAAGGGGCATAACTCTGCCAAAAATCATCGAACCATGACCAATTTCGAACTTGACCTGTATTTTCTAATGACATATCCATATGTCAAGTTTGAATTGAATGTTTTGTACCGTTTGGGAGATAATGAACGGAAACTGAAAATTTCATATTATTTTCAATGTAAAAGGGGCATAACTCTGCCAAAAATCATCGAACCATGACCAATTTCGAACTTGACCTGTATTTTCTCATGATATATCCATATGTCAAATTTGAGTTCAATATGTGCAACGGTTATTAAGATAATGAACGGAAACTGATGAGGACGGAATGACGGAATGACGGAACAGGGTAACACTATATGCCCCTGCCATTATATGGCGGGGGCATAAAAAAATGTGTATAGAAAATAGGATTGAAATGAAATTATTTTTTCATCAACCTTGAAAGTGATTTGTTGTTATGACAACAGTACAGCCAATATGCATGGCCTTACATCTAGGTATAGTGTTCAGGGGAAAAATTGCTTGACCTAACTGCTGGAGCAATATAGTTTGGAAAAAAGGAAAATCATTCTCGTTGTATGTACTTCATTTAAAGAAAATAACTGTATTTTCATAAAAAAACTAAAGGTTTATAATAAAATATCACATAAAACTTAAAACAACAAGATGTTTGTATAACATGCATGTCCCCCTGATCAATATGTCCAGAGTTGCATGTATTGTAACTAAAAAACAATTTTGGCATAAAAAGCCAAAGTGACTTTGACATTTAAGCCTGTAATATGACTTTGACCCTGTGACCCTAAAGTCAATAGGGGTCATCTACAGGCCAAGACCAATACAATTTGAAGTTTGAGGGCCAAGGGCCCATGGGTTGTCAAATTATTGGCCATAAACCATTTGGACATACAAGGACAATAAGAACTTGAACTTTGACCCAGCAACCCCAAAATCAATTGAGGACGAGGGCCCATGGGTTGGCGAGTTATTGGTTGGAAACCATTTGGTTATACAAGGTCAATGTGACCATGACCTTTTACCCTGTAACCCAAAAATTAAAAGGAGTCATCTAATGTCCAAAACCAATACACCTTTGAAGTTTGATGGCCAACGGCCCATCGGTTGTCAAGTTATTGGTTGGAAACCATTTTGACATACTCGGTCAATGTGACCTTGAACTTTCACCCCAAAATCAAAGAGGTCATGTACTGGCCAAGACAAATGCACCTGTGAAGTTTTTGGGCCAAAGGTCCATGAATTATTGGTCGGCAACCAATTTGACATACAAGGTCAATGTGACCTTGATCATTGACCCCTTGACCCCAATATCAATAGGGGTTTAGAAATACAAGGTCAATGTGACTTTGACCAACAATTAATAGGGGTGATCTAATGGCCAAGACCAATACACCAATAACAGGATTATGGGCCCATGCTTTTTCAAGTTCTTGATCGGGAACAATGTGCGACGGGACGGACATACTAAGTTACTCACCAACATCATGCTGCAAATTAATATGATGTCCCTCTCCTTCGAAGGTGGACTTAATAAAGTATATAAAACACTGCAAGTTCTTACCAAGCCATTTGGCATTGTTTCTTGTCCTTGGTTGAAGTAAATGTAGTTAGAATTGTAACCAGTTGT